GAGAGAGAGAGAGAGAGATCACATCTTGCCTGCCAGCTATGATCACAATGTCATTTTCCCCTCAGTGGCTAGAAGCCTCTTCTGAAAGGTGCCCTGAATTATAATTATCAAAATATTGAACAAGATAATCATCCTCTTAAATGATGCTGCCACTTTACTATGTGCCTTACTGTCATAGAACATGCATGGAGTAATGCTCTCCTGTAAGCTTTCTTAATAACTCATTTAGAACTACACAGTGAAAGACATGTTCTGTGCAAGAGTGCACTTTGTAATATTGAGTTACTTGAGTTGGCCATTAATAAACTACCACAGAAATACATACTCAACCAGAATTCCTCCACTGCTTCACTTTATGTGCCCATCAATTTAAATTCATGAACGTTTAAAGGAGATCTTTCATAGGAGGTAAGAGTCTCCTTGCCACCTCTTCATCCTCCCCCAACGGCCCCAGACACAGTCACAGGAGGAGTGACTTTGACCGACCCCAATACCGTCTGCGAGAGCGCAGCTGAGGGCAGCAGCTGCCAGGGAGGACTGGTGGGGGAGCGCCCAAAACGCCAGCTCTGCCAAGCGGAGGGGCCGGGGGGAGCCCCAGTGGCAGCTGGGAAGGGTGGGGCGGCCAGCTGTGGAGCAGCAGGATGGTGGGGTGACTAGGAGATGCCACTAAACCTGAGCAGCCAGGGATACACAAGTGCACATACAAATTTTATACACAGGCACACTCAAAAAGTTCACACTTCCCTTTTCTTAAAGCACTTCTGCGGTACTCACCGACATGTACACACACAAACTCATCATCAGCACCAGGGCAGTCTGTGGCCCTCTTAACACCAACACCACTCTCCCATCACGTGCTTCGGCCACACATCTGGTGTACCATCTGTATCACTCCCCCCAATGTGACAGGTAGTCCCTCTCCCTCTCTGGAGGGAGCAGAAGGGGAAAGAGGGACACGGAAGGTAATTTTGGGTGTAAATGTGCTCTGGACCTCTCTGGATGCATCTGGACAAAGCAGACATGCTGCTGAGTGGTGCAGGGTCATTATCAGTTGGAAACTGATTACCAGATAGGAGATGAAGACAAAACAATTATATCATACTGTCACATTATGACGGCACCAATTGTGCACATCTTGTTTATGTTGTCGCCAGGATGAACGATTTTGGACTTTTGTCTTAATTAACAGCATGTCAATAAAAAGGTCAAACGCTATAAATAACACAAGTCAAAATATATTAAAGATTCTTCCAATTTATTGTAATTTACAGTTATACATTGCCATGACACAAATGTGACCACTTGGATGGGGGTGCAGAATGCAAAATATTAAAACAGCCATATAAACAATATCCGAGGACAATGAATTCCTCTTCTTTATGCCGCTGTACATATGGGATCAATAAAGTATGCACCATAAAACAGATATCAAGCCAGTGATATAAAACTGCACAACCAGTCTTTACTGTGAAATTAAGGAATCCATTTCAGAACATTATTTTCACATCTTATGTTACATATTTGACAGTAACTTTATTATTCACACACACACAACACTATTTGAATGACATCAACTTAGACGTTTATTCAAAGGGAAAAGGGAATTCCAGCATTGTCAAGACTAACAAAACAAATTACTTGTCAGAAATATGTATTATACCAAGTCTGATCTTTCCCATTTACTAATTTGCAGTCAATGGACAAGACTGAGGCGCGTGTATAGAAAAAAAAAAAAAAATAATAAAAAAAAGGCTCTAGAGAGCATTCACTTACAATTTGCAGTGGCATCTGCTACATATCACCTCTTTGGGCACAAATGTCAAAGGCCAATGACCATTATTATGATAAGTAATGTGGTTAAAAAAAAAAATAATAACTTCCAAAATATCCAAATTTGATACATATTTTTCACTGACTTAAATACAAAGCTTAACACAGAATACAGCAATTGTTTCATGCGTTTTCAGACATTAAACATGATTTTCTAATTCCAGGTATGCTGTTTGTATTTGTCCTTCAAGGAATTTCTGTGCATGCCAATTCATTTTCTATTTTTACACAAAAATTCATACAGAGTCCATGTCACTGAAGTAGCAGATCCAATTGAATAGTTATACAAGTCAACACAACAAAGAAATAAAAAACAAAATGCGCTGGATGGGATCATCATTAAAGATCATTAAAAAAAACATTGACACATACACTTCATGAAATAAACAACACAGCTTTAGTACTAGTTTCCAATGTCTCATACAAAGTTAGCTTGATCTAAAAAGCATAAAATATATTTTTACATCATCACATACATCAAGACATGTACCATGGCCTAGCGGGAAGTTCGTCTGGTGCATTATTTCAAGCCCCCACACATTTCCCTACTGCTGGCATTATTGCTTCTTATGAACAAGGAGCTGAGGGATAGAGAAACAATGCACCACAGTAGATTGAAACTGTACATTTAAATCATCTCTGATATCCAAAATTTTGTTAGCCTGTTTAACAATCTGCAATGCTAAAGGATAAGGCAGTTCCATTTTTAAGGCATTGCTGCTTCGAGACATACTGGACCAGAGGGTGAGTCATGGACTTTGACATTATCAAGTCAATGTACATGATAAACAGAATACATTTTATAGGCGAGGATAAGAGCCCAAAGAGAGGGGGAGTATCTTGTATTTTTGAGTGTTGTATGTTCATGTCTGAGAGAATCTCAGCGTGCTACAACCATCATTTAAGTCTGCTTAGCAGTTGACCAGAGGTCAAAGCTCAGACAGAGAACAGAGCAGAGCTGTGTGGTTTGCTGTGACCATCTCTCATTGCTGGTAATTTCCATACTGGCCCTGTGGAGAGAAATGTGACAGACTCGTGTTACTGACCTTCTCAAAAACAGAGTAAAAGCTTATATTCACAAATCTCAATAGGGTGCAAACAAACATGTGGTTTCAACCATATCATACTGCAAACCATGATTTATGGCTGCATTTGCTGGTTTTGACCAGCAGGTGGCAGCATGGCCTCACAACTTGTGAGCTGTACATTCTAACTTGATACCTCAGGTTTCAGCAGCAGCATGGCTGAGGACGTAATCCTTATTAAACAGTGGACACTAGTTTCATGTGAGACAAATTCAGTGCAAGAACAGTAGTAGTTGATGCATTTCTAAACAGGGGTCGAAGTATGTGTTTGACATTAATGGAAAATACAATAGAAGCAAATTTGGAAACAAACTATGATTTCGCAGTCTGATGTACGTACCATTTTAATTCAAATATCAGTGTTTTCATAAGCACAATAGTCATCGTTGTAAATTGCAGAGATTAAGGACACAGCCAAAGCACTAAGCTTTTGGCTGTCTCGCTGCAGGATAAGCATGCTGTGTTTCTGGACCTCATGACTTACAATTCGACCCCTGGTTAATAACAAAATCATAATAAAAAAATAAAGTACCAAAAAAAGGAAAAAGCTTAAGAAAGGAAAAGAGAAAGATGGAAGAAAGATAAAGACAAAAAGAGAGACAGAAGAAACATAACAAATGCAAATTAAGGCTAGGTGGTCAAACGTCTAGATTGAACGTTGAGGTCTTCACAGCAACCATTACCTTTGCTTCTTACAGAGCTAGTCAGGGGTTCAAATCCCTGGGTCTTTATTTCCTCATGTGCCCCTGAATATTCAAAGATAAAGATATCAAAGTGTAGCTGTGGTCCCCACATAAGACCACAGGAAATACAGGGCAACAAATAGATCTCCCTTTAAACACTAGAGCAGTCTGCATCAAGTTTAAGGAAGAATCCTCTTAAAGCCCTCATATTTCACTGAACTGGCAAACCATATTAGCCAGGATATATAGCTAAGACTCAGATTAACAAGTGAAAGACAATAGTAACACATACACTCTTTTGTGTAGAACAGATTTAACCCCCAATATGATGACAGCATGCATAACATACTACCTTTTAATTTTTACGTTCTAACTTCACTCACATTGGTCTCGCTACACAAAAAAAATTTACATTTAAGTCTGGCAATAAACACAATAAGAGACAAACTAAGACGAATGTATAACCAAGTCTCTGTGACTGTCCTATGTTGTGGGTATACTCACCTGGTCATAGCCGTAGGGGCGTTGCTGTTGGCCCTGTGGGGGTCCAGGTTGAGGAGGGCGATAGGCCCCATACTGCTGTCCCTGCCCCTGAGGATAGTTAGGATACTGTCCTGGGGCACTTTGGGAGGGACCTATGAAAAAAAAAATTGAGAACTCGATTTAAAATTCTGTATACTTGACACGAGTGAACTTGAAAATGCTGTTGGCTACCGTCAACACAAACGCTTCTAACCTTTCATTATTAGCATGTGTTGTTTCTGGCACCATATGGGCATGGTTTGTCAGCCAAAAAACAAAACAAATACCATACCATAACCCACCTAAATGATTGCAAGACAATTTAAAATGCAACATTGATGTCATTAAAAAAAACAAAAAAAAACAGGAGATATGAAGTACCTCATTGGTGTATAAGCAGTGAGTAAAATTCAAGCACAACTTGATGACACACAGTTAAAAGATTGCGTATTTTTGGTTTTTGAACAGTGCAATTTTCTTAAGAAGAGCAGAAATGGAACTCAGGTTTGGACTCAGAACAAAGGAACCCAGTGTGTAAACCGCCCTAAGTTTTGCTCATTAACTGTTTCCATTTCCTACTTGTTACTCTGAGAACTCTAGGGAATCCCTGTTAGTTTACTATCACTAATGGCCTGCAATAAAAAAAGCTGATGGATGACAAAGAGAGGATGGTGGATATGTCAGACCCATTTGTTTAGGCTGCCTCCACAATGCCTGACTCAGTCATGAAGGAGAATGAGTGAGTCAGGTTGGAGCCGGGCGGTGGTTCGCTAATGCAAGGAGACATCAAGGATTCCGTTGGTCTTCATTAGAGGAGCAGGATTCATTAAAAAAAAGGAAGGGAAAAAAATACATAAAAATCACTTCATCGGCCCCCGTACACTGTAGCTATCTATGCAGGTGCTGTGAATAACCAAGCAAAGCTTGACTGGGGCTGAAGTCAAATGAGGCCCACGCAGCATCGTTAGGCGCTCATAATGCCTTATGCTGTTGAGCATAACCTTGTGGGGGCTTGCGAGAGAAAGCGTGTGTGTGTGCCAGATGGATCTCACCTCACAGCCTCTGCCTCTCCGTCAGCTCATTACTAACACGAGCTTTGGTTCAGACAGAGGGTGAGTGATGGAAAGTTTCACTGAAAAATGGGATGAGGAAGAAAAAGTCCAAAGATATTAAATACTTACATTGCATGTGGGGCATCCGTTATTTTTTTTCTGTTTGGTCAAATAGTTAAATCCCAAAGCCATGCGCTCATTGCGAATACCATAAGTTAGAAAATATAAGTATTGGAAAGGTATGACTAATTAAGTGTTTTAACTGAAGTCTATTAGACTGTTTTCAATGTTTTTTATTTGTAGATTAGCTTTCCTTTTCTGCCATGAGGTCCAAATCGGAACATCTGCTGAGTGTCTCGAAATGTTTCAACAAAGATCAAATCTTAGGCCATTTCAGGAAAAACATTACTATCTTCTACACCTAGTTTTTATTATATATGTTTGGATATTTACAATATTGAGTTCAAAATGTTTGGCTGGCAGTCTACACACTTTGCCCACTGTCTGTACCCATCAGCCAAAGCTCCTCTCCCACTCCCTCAGAACAGTGTGTCATATCAAACTGAAGCACCAGGAGAAATGCTAATGTGGTGCCAGCCACCACTACTGATTAAATTTCTCTTCCACCAAGCTCCAATCCCCCAACCATTCATTAAGGTGGTCCTTTAATTCCTTGCTCTTGATGATGTCTTGACATGCATCTGGCACAGTTACATTTCCAAGGGGCAGTAACCACTAACTCACTCAGGAAGAATTATTCAACACTTTAAAAAAGGCAGCCAACAAGAGCCGATACTGCCTCCTAAAGGACAAATGTGTGTCCATATTCGAGAGAAAGTAACTCACCGTAGCCCTGCTGCTGAGGTGGGTAGCCCTGTTGACCTGGGTACTGCTGTTGAGGAGGGTAGCCCTGCTGCTGGGGAGGGCCTTGCTGGTATGCTTCCTGCTGTTGGCCATACTGGGCATTACCTTAAGGGGGCAACAGCAAGAAATGTGAGCAATATGTTAAGACTACAGTGGAACTGCAAACAGGCAGTTAAGACAATGAATAAGGATTGTTTCTATGGTATTACTTAAGAAATGAGTTCTCCATTCGGATGGTGCTGTTAAGATGCACCTGTAAGTACAGCACATGGACTGGCGCATACAGCCATTAAAAATTACATCAGCAGTGTGAAATAAGATACTGTTAACAAAAGTGAAGTGTATTATTAGGTAGATAAAATACAAAGTAAATGATACAACCTGTAGCAGTGATGACATTCAAATAAAAGTAAAGTAAGCACCAAATACCAAGTCATCTATAAATGTTTGATACGATATTGAGCATGTAGATATTTTGTACTACTCTATACTTTCTGAACACAAATGGTAGCTTAAAAGAATCTGAACCCATGTCAACATTGTCATGAGCACACATATTAGAGGAAGGTATCCATGATAGTGGTGAGAGAAATTCACATATATTCAGGAAATACCAGATAGGATGAAACTGATCATCTTATTGAGGAGTTCAGGGATGCAAAAAATAGTCTTGATGGCAGCAGTTTTTGAGCCAACCATATTTTAAGAGTTTGTGTGTGTGTGTGTGTGTGTGTGTGTGTGTGTGTGAGGGGTGGGGGTCATTCTTCAAAAGGGATGGATTTTCTCTACTTGAAAAGGGGAAACACTTGTGTTTGAAAGGTCAAAAGGAAAATAGTGTAGTGAGTAGAGGAAACAAAAACAAACAAATAAGTAAATGTTAATTGGACAAAGAAAGAGAAGGAGTTGTTTATTATGAATCTGTACTTTTTTTAATGTGGCTACTAATGTAATAATACCACCGTTTAACACGCCAACATGGAGAAAATCAGCCTTATATCAAGTGTTATATTTTGAGGATAATGCAGTGGTAGCACATTTCTTAAAAATAGTTTGTGGTCTGTTACTGTCTGTGCACAAAATATCTATATTTACACAGAATGTGTTTGACATGTGGCATTTTTTTTCAATTAAAAAAACCTAAGGATGGTTGTTATTTGACTTTAATACAACTTTGAGCTTTGGCCATTAGGACTCACGCAAGACTCTCTCCCTGACTTTTCTCTTCTTTCACACCAACAGGTGGCGCTCCAGCCCCAACTGAGGGGATAGCATTACGAGACTGGGTAGGTGCTAACTTATCCATGGACTGCAGCACCTTTTGGAATTGCACTTTTGGTGCACTTTGGCACGTGGATGATCGCTCGAAATTAGATGCCTTTTTTTGTTAGAGCCCAAAGTCACTTTGATGTCCCAGAAAATAATGAAGAAACTGAAAATTTGGGTTTGTCGCAGTCTCTTTGCATCATTTGTGTTTTAACACAACTCCTGGGTTCATTTTTTGTTGTTTTTCTCCAAGTGACTGGAGGGTTATCCTACCTTCTGAGGCTCCCTGTCCTGCGTGACTGTACTGGTCCCCATAGTAGTCTTCCTGCCCTGGGTACTGCTGAGGGGGTCCTACATACACATACACACAACATACACACAAGTAGATTCAAGGTGTTGTTGGATCGGTTGTGTGAGGGGAAGAGTAGAGAGGATGGATTCCTTGCCGCTAGTTCTTGTTAGAAAGCTTTCTTTTGGTCACTTGACTAATTTTATGATTGGAGGGTTTAGGTTACAAGTTTAGTCATCAAGATGTCTGTGATCTACAGAAGTGGAAATAGAGGAAATTGAGAGGAACAAGAGTAAGAAATACAGGAGGGTGGGTTAGGGAGAAGAAAGACCAACACTCACAACTTGCACACTTAACAAACACACTCTGAGGGGTATACCTTGCTGTGGGGGTCTGTAAGGGGGCATTGGCCTCTGCCCCATGACATGGTTCCCTTGGTTGACCTGGCCCATCATGCCCATTGGGTTCTGCTGTCCTTGGTAGTGCTGTCCGGCACCACCAGGAGGCATGTTATACTGCTGGGAGGGAGGCTGCTGGTGCATCATGGGGCCTGTGGTACACCGTAAAAGAGTTAACGCTCAAAACTGTCCTAAGTAGAAAACATGCAAGCAGCATAAGGCTTATCAAATGAAAGTGAATGATGTGCAGTAAGCACCATGAAGATAGGAGACGAAGGACGGGAAACCAACACAACAACCAGGAAACTAACAAATGAGTCGTTTTACCTTGATTGGGCTGCATGTTCATGTTTGGCCGAGGCCCATAGTTTCCCATGGGCTGGCCCTGGGTCATGTTCATTTGGCTCTGAGCTGGCATGCCCTGGGAAGAAGGGACGGTATGATTGTAACCACCCATCGAGCCGTGGCTGCTGGGGGGCATATTCATAGAGCCACTGGGCATGTTTGGGGGCTGGTTGGGGCCTGGACCAGGACCTTGCATGGGCATGTGATTAGGACCTGAAAAATAACAGCAGAGATGATTCATGACTTTTTTTTTTTTTTTAAACTACATACATATTTAACACACATACTACCATCATGATGTGATATGAGCACTCTGTGAACAACTGTAATCTGAGGCTGTGTTTCCATACAGCAGGAACGGCATGTGAAAAGTTGAATTAAATTACCTTGGTGATGTGTAAGAGGTTTGGGGTTAACCCAAACTTTAACTGTAATTAATCCACTGCACCTTTGTCTAACCAGTTCATTTATATTTGCTTTTTCTTTTCATTAATTCCTCTATTGCAACTTTTAAAGCTAATGTTTCTGCAAAGAGCAACTGAATCTCCAATTTTCAGTTGTCTTTTATCACCCATCACACGTCAACACTGTGTACATTATTAATTAATAATGCATAATTAACACTGAAACTGACTTCATTACAATTCAAATAACAAATAAAATAGCAGATTCAAGGCTTCACGGTTATTTTATTGTAATCTACAACACAAGGTTGTAGAATGAAATTTAAATATAGTTCCCTTCAATGCTATTTTTAAAAAAAACTGACAAAGAATTCATAAGAATAAAAAACTTTTTCCCCCATTATTAATTTGTATGATGAATTGTTGAGGAATAATTTAACAGTTTCAGCCTGAAGGAAGAAGCTGTCTTTAGAGAGAATACTGAGGTTTCCACTGGTTAGATGAATGATGGGAAGTTACAAGAGAAAAAGGAACTACCATTGGACAGCAACTCTTCCATTGAGCAAGAGCTGGCTCCACCCTGGCCACAATCTCATAGATGATGCCGTCTCTAGTCACCTAAGTGACTATACACGGATCATCATGATGATACCCAGCTCACAACAGTAATACCATAATACTGTTGGTCAGAATGTATATTCCCTGTTGTGGGGTTTCAATGGAAATCCAGAAAACAGAACTGCCCAGCATGGTACAGCTTAAGTGAACATTACCATTGCAGTGGAAAAGTGACCCTACAGTGGCAATATTTTTCTGCCATTCTAATGTGGTGCCTTTTTTTAGCATATAATTAAATATATACATTTGCAAAAAAAAAAAA